TTCATCTTGCAAAAGTATTATTTCGTTTAAATTTTCCGTTATCGATAAAATATATCCGCACATTGAATACATTCTATGTAGTAAATCGACAGTGATAATAAGTTCCTGATGATTGTTTACCAGCATGACTTTTGGCCAAAATGAATCGTCCGGGTCCAGACCAATGTATACGCTACACATTTGTGAAATTCTATACATTGATGAATCGATAAAGTCGTTTATTTTATTGAATTTACGCCTTAGTGTAGCCATTGTGATTAAAGTCTCCAACTCCAATAGGCATTACTGTCGCTGGGGTTCGCATTCGTCGTCTTTTCAATTGTTTCGATTGAATCCAAAAGTTCGTAATATATTCGCTTCACAATTGAGCATGCACATTCAGGATAGTCCGAATTTTTTTCCGCATCCAAAAATTCACAACCTTTGTAATGTAAAAAGTCTCAACCTACACCGTTGACTTTATCGCCTAGATGTCCCGCAAAATATTGTAAATCTCGATAATTTTTCAATAGTTTACTAACAAGTTTGAAAACTCTATCCGTCGGATCGTTTTCAACAAGAAAATTCCATTTATCCGATATATCATTGAAATAATCCATCTTGCACGCACAATAGATTAACAAATACTAAGAACCTATTAGATGTCAGCATACAATGATATGCTGCTGCTCCCCTCCTTTCCAAACATCTGTTAGACAATTAATTCATGATAACGGATGAGATGTAATTATTATAATATATTTAATATAATACTATATATATATATATTACTATCACTATACGAATAACGGTCAAGCTTATTAACCCGTATATTAACAATTAATGTAATTGACTGCGATATCGTCGCCGTCGCCGCGTTGAGCCATCTGCTGTATTAATCTCAATTGCTGTAGTATAAAAATATATAATCATCAATACAGCCATCTGTACAACCACACAATGTTTCGAAATAATTTTTTTTTACAAATTAGGTAAAATTAACATTTTACGTATGGACTTTATCTAAATGTGTGCATGTCGCATATCAAAATAGCGGATTCGACGTTTAAAATTCATACTTTTAACCGTAACCGTATAGCTTACCTGGAAAATGCATTTTTTTTTTCGTCAAAAAACTGATAATATGTATATATTATATGGCCGAGCATAATTTAGGCGCGTGACAAGTTGTGTTAGTTTACGTCGTGTTTCATCCCCCCCAACCCTCCTATTAGGTTAGTTTACCTTAAGTTTCATCCCCTCACCACTATCGTAAGACTTGGTGGAGGAGGAGAGATTCCTCACGTGCCATAGGTTAGTTTACGTTGGGTTACATCATCTGCTGTGGAACATCGCGTATGACGCGGTGTTCCGCGTTCCGCTACCGCCGGGCGTGCGCGTCGTCTGCTACGCGGACGACACGCTGGTGGTGGCGGAAGGCGCCTCGTCCGAGGAAGCTGGATTCCGGGCGAACTGCGCTCTCAGCGCAGTCACCGCCTGGATCCAGCAGGAGGGGAGCGGACTGAGCCTCGCCCTGGACAAGACCGAAGCGGTCCTGTTCACGGGCAGGTACAAGTTCGCTCCTCCGCGGCTCACCGTGCTGGGGGTGGACGTCCCGCTCAGAGATTCCATGACGTATCTGGGCCTGGTCTTCGACAAACGTCTGATGTTCGGGCCGCACATCACTCGTGCGGCCCAACGGGCCCAGAAAGTCATGAACAGCCTGGCGGGGCTCATGCCCAATCTGGGAGGACCGAGGGAAATGCGGCGCAGACTGCTCGTCAGCGTCGTTCACTCGGTCCTCCTGTACGGGTCCCCGGTCTGGGCGGAT